TGTTTAAAATATATGTCTGACCTTGAAAACATACCTAATGTGACTACAAGTTGAATTATAATAGGTGATTAACTACTAACCTGCATTTTCGTATTATCCTAAACAATTAGTAATAAAATTTTCAAGGACTAGAAATTTGCAGTACATTGTTAAATGAGTTACATAGGCACAATACCTTGAACGAGAGTAAAAATGTATGCACAGTATGTTCTAATAAAATGAATTTCAAATTTATATCAATACACAAAGTTTGTATACAATATATGAAAGTCCAATCCAATGTAAAACATTTAAAACTAGTAGTTGCTTTTTTAAAGTAAATTTAATAATATACCTTTTATCTTATTATATCTATATTCTCCCATTTTCATTTCAGAGTAGATTCAATAATCTACCCTTTTATCCTATCATATGTATAGCCCCCTTTTTTCTTTTCAAAACAAAAACTTTGCTTTGTTTAGCTTTTATCCTGACTATTGCCGGTAAAGACTTGCAATTATCCCCCCAAACAATAACAGATAACCATAATCCATTGAATGACCAAAACTACCCACCCTACCTCTTGGGAATGTGGGTGTTGTATTCTTAAATTTACTTCCTGCTGTCTGGGGCAATGTTACCTTTAGGGGATCCTAAAAAGAAAATTTGGGTTAATTATCAAGTCTTTGGAGAGGTAGCTATATCCGGTTTTTGTCCAGTCTATGCATAACGGAAAAGTGCAGGGCTTGTCTCAAATCCTGACTTCTGTAGTCTGTGAGGCTGAATCATCTCAACTAGCCACCTTGAAATTATTCTGAGCAGTTTGTCCTCCAAAGCTGATCCTTAGGTGGTGTTTTTCAGCTTAGTGATGTTATCATAGTCCTGGAGGAGTCATCATTGTGGGGCTGTCCAGATATAATGAGAATGGTGCCCAGGTGGATAACTGCATCCACAGAAAGCCTGAGAAAGCCTGGGAAAGACTAGAATAAAACATTTTAGTTTTCAGCCACAGCAGTAAAAAAAAAACTGTGCTGTTTTAAAATACTGGCTTTCTGGGCCGTCCTGCCAGGGAAAACTCTGACTCTTTCAAGCAGGCTGTCCCGATGGATACAATGTTGCAGCTTGCTTCCTGGCAAGGACCTTGAAAAACCATAGGAGCTTTTGAGTGTTGGTTTCTCCATATTCCTTAGCAAATTAAAGACCCATGTGGTCAGAAAAAGAGAGATACACAGTAAAGAGAGATTCAAAGAGTAAGAAAACCTCTAAATGGTTTACATTGTGTTAAAAATATATACAGGCTAAAGGTTAAAGTTCTCAGAGTAAAAAAAAAAAAACCAGCAAAGAACGAGTAGCCTGGGAGGCAGAGACAGACAGATCTCTGGGAGTTCAAAGATAGCCTGGTTTACAGAGGGAGTTCCAGGACAAAGATATGCAGAGAACCTGTCTCAAAAAGCCAAAAGTTAAAAGTAAAAATAAAAGAAATAGAGGTTAAAATAAAGCCACATAAAGATGGAAAATACACAGAGAATCTTGATACTGTATGCTATTATGCTCTCTTCAAATTGTTTGAATGCTGAGGAAGGAGCAACAGCTACTAAAAGGTATTTGCTTATAGATGCTGCAGAATTAATCCAAAATAGGTATTTTGAAAATACCTTAGCTTCAAAATTGAAGTCAAAAGGTATGTTACTTTGGAGAAGAGATTTTGCTTTTGTTTCCACAGAAAACGAGAGGCTCTGGATTTATTCAGAGTTAAGAAAAATCATCTTTGACCAAGGGAGACCACCTGAGCAATCTCCGGTAGGAACAGATGGCCCAGATGTCTGAGTTCTTCATCCAGAACAGATTCAAGACTGCTGCCTGAGATGATCAAGACTCACAGGATACTTCAGTCAGTACTTGATCATAACTCTAAATTTTCTTTAGGTCCCCATAAGATTATCAGCACCCCCAACCAGCAGGAAGTAGCCTGGAATACTATGCCCACATTCCCAAAAAAATGGACTATGGATATTTTCCTTTGTTGTTTTTTTTTTTTTTAAAAAAAAAAAAGAGGGGAAAGTGTTGCGGGAGAATTGTCTGTATTCTGTCAATCATGTTTTAAATAAAACGCTGATTGGCCAGACAGGAGGTATAGGTGGGAAAACCAGACAGGAAGTGGAAATGATGCAAGGAGAGCAGGAGAATTCTGGGGAAGGGGATGCTGATTCCTCCCACTCCTGCCCAGAACACCAAAGCAGCAGGATGTGAGCTGCCCCACTGAAAAAGGTACTGAGCCACATGGGTAACATAGATCAGAAAAATGGGTTAATCAAGATGTGAGAGTTAGCCAGTAAGAAGCCTGACCTAATGGGCCAATCAGCTTTATAACTTATAGAGATCTCTTGTGTGATTTTTCTCTGGGACTAAACAGCTGGGGGAACAGGGCAGGACAAGAACCCCAACAAACAAGCAGGCCTGGCCCCTTCATGTTACAGTAATGTATGAAAGAAGAATAAATGTAGAAAAAATGAAACTTGGTAAAGAGATAAATAAATAAATGTCTCTTGTTCTAAATTCTCAGTACTATACTTAGGTCCCAAATACCTGAGTGCAGTCCCACCAGTCTGGAATAAAAACTTTTAATAGACTATAACTGTGTCTGGTGTTCATCTCTGGTGGGCTACCTTGTAACAAGGGGAAGATCTGCTCTTAGCCTACCTGATTCCTGATTCCCTAGCTGGAGAGCTCATGTTTAAGATGCTTCTATTATATCAAGATTCCATTCAACCCCTCAGATGGTCCTTAGTTTTAGCCCACATTCTGTTCCTTACCCTCCTCTTCCCTCCCCTTTCCTGTTTGGTTTTTCTTTTCCAGTCTCACTAAGCTCCTTCCATCTGTAGGATCCTCCTAAAAAGATCCTTCCCTCCCCCAAGTCCCTTACCTCTGTGATTATATGATTTGTAGTCTGATCATGAAGACTTAACAGCTAACACCCACATGTAAGCAAATGTTATCTTTTCCCGTCTGGGTTACCGCACTCAAGATATTTTTCTAGTTTCATCTATTTATCTGAAATTTTCATAATTTCATTCTTTAACAGCTGAATAATATTCCATTGTATAAATGTACCACATTTCCTTGATCTACTCATCTGATGACAAACATCTAGACTCTTTCCAGTTTGTGACTATCATGAATAGAGCAGCAATTAACATGATTGAGCAAGTGTCTCCGTAGTTGATGTGGGAGTTTTTACAGACATGGCACAGAGGGTGGGGACACAGTAGGAACCGGTGTTGGGGGCAGCATGGATTCGGTTTGGCAATGGTGAATGAATAGAGTGAGGAACATTCTGGAGAAGCTTGAGGGGTACAGTAGGAAAAGTATGGGGACAGAGTGTGAGAAAGATAAGAATAACTTGTGGGCAGCCCCTGAAACAAGATGGAGACAGCATGGCCAAGCAGGTTCACAATGGGGTGGTGGCATGATAGACCAGGGGCAGCAATACACTGGGGCAAGGTGAGGATGGTGTGATACAAAGAGGGTCACAGTTAGGGGAAGCTACTGAGGCAGTATAGGGAACACTACGGGGCCATATGGTAACCTAAGACATCACAGGGACAGTGGGGGAGCGGCGCCGACCTTGAAGAGTGTGACGGTGGCACTGTAGCACACGCTGAGCAGGAAGAGGGTGATGAAGATGGTGATGGTCGTCCAGAGCCCGTCCAGTTCCCCGTCCAGGGCCTCAGCACAGTTGTCGTCCAGTTCCAGCTCTGGACAGAGAGGGAGCAGTCAGTGTTTTATTTTTCCAACAAGGGAAAAACTGGAGGCATTTTCCTGTGTGGAAGGTGGGGCATCAGAGAGGCACAGGAGAAAGGACAAGCTAAGTTTGGCTGGTGGACCTATCCTAGGGCCAGCTTTGCTTTCTGCCTTCTCTGGGCTAGCAGCCCTTTCCCTAACTGCTCTTGCTTAGTCCTTGGGTTCAATAGAAACACTGAACTAATAATGTGACCTAGATTGCCCAGGAGTCCTCCCTGTATGTCTTATCCCTCCGTTCTGAGTCTGTTTGGCCTAAGTGAGGGCCTAAAGCCAAACAGAAAGTAGATCTACAGCCTGCCTGACCCTTGGTCACCAACTTCAGAGGGCCACAGTGATGACAGAGCTTGGGCCTGATGATGCCTTGACTGCAGTGAAGGTCCATATAAGGAAGGAGGCCTGTCATCTGTGTAAGGTAGAAGGATAGGCCTTCAGGGACATATTGGTCCTCGGAGACTATGTGTATAGAGATGGGTGAAGGTACCCTCAGAAGATGAGAACTATGTCTGACTATGATGGCCCAAATGTGGATATTGAGGTGGCAGTTGGAGATATTGGAACACCCTACAGGGGTGGCTGTTATATGAGGTGCCTCTGTGAAGACCTAGGCAAGAACACATGTGTACACCTCTGAGCACAGGTATTACACGAACTGAGTGATATTAAGTACACTGGTTCTAATGGGTCAGGCTAAACACCTATGTGTATATCTGGTAGACCCTCTTCTAGGGCAGCCAGAGCACTGGCCTCAATCCCTCTAGGGCACAAAAATGAGTATCTGGTAGATGGGCAGTGTCCGCACTCGTAGACAGCCCTAGCCCATATACCAGAGAGATGAGGCAGAGTGGGCTATGTTGAATGGGTTGGGCTTAATGGTTTGTTGTAGATGCTCCCTGCAGTCACAGGGGCACTGTTGGGCAGAGAAAAACGTCAAGGACAGACGGAAAGAGTCAGAATTTATACGTTCCTTGCATTCCTTTCCTTAGGAGATTACTTGGGGTTGGCCTTGATCAGCATTAACACCTCAGCTGGCTATAGGCAGAACACGGGAGAAAGCCCCTTTGGACCAAACCTCTCCCTCTATTGAGGGATGACCTCAGGCCAGGACAGATGTACACAAATGCTCTGAGTCTGATGATATGGACTTGGACACTAACTAGACCCCCACAGCCACTGGCCTAGGCACATAGATGTAACATTACCTCAGAAAGAACCAAGACACCTTCACTGGGTCCCAGGGCAGTGCTGGGTGATTTATTCATGTGGAGGGAAGGAATACACGGGAATCAGTAGCCTTAGGAATTGGAGGGTTTACTGAGTGCCGCACTCATTGATCCACTGTCTGGGAGAGGGTCTTCTATGTGTGGTGGTCTGTGCATGATCTTGTGTACCACAGAGCACGTAAAAACATTTCCCCCTTGCCTCCTGTTCTTCTCCACTTCCTGTGGAGGAAAAAGGACCCATTAGAGTCCATGAGCAGTGGGGGTGTTCCTGAAGTTCTGCTCTGGTTTTCCATGGCTATGTTATTGCATATCAATGTCTCTGAGATGAAAGTCCATGATCACGCAGGTGAAAAGTGACTTTGATCTTGGTCATCTGTTCCTTGGGTGGAGGCATAGTGTGTTCCTGAAGCATCTGAGCCTTTCCTGTGAGGAGAGAAGTCAGAACAGCAGTCACTGCCAAAGTAAAATCTTTGCCAAGCTCAGTACCCTGGCCCAGGACAGCCCCCATACAGTCCACCTCCCTAGATCCCACCTTTAACTTTAGAAAATATTTTCTCAGTGAGAACTGGGAAGGGTCCACTGTTGATCTTGAATTTGAATTCCTTACCTCTCAGCCAGTCTTGGCACAGGATAAGGAGGGTGCTGACCACATGGAAGGTATTGTTATATTGCTCTTCCCAGACCTGCATCTGAGCCATGTGCACATCATAAACCAGCAGAATTGGCTACCACCATACATGTGATCTTAAGGGTCAGAGAGATCAAGAATGTGTCCTTGGACTTTGGGGGAATGATGAAGATAAATGTCCACCCCTTAGTTCAAGAGTTGGTGAGGAGAGATGGATATGGATCAGGATTTAGGCCACCCCTCAGCATGGGGTACTCTTCCTCATCCTGAATCTAGGCAGCAAGGTTAAGTGATTCATCTGGACACATGGGACACTTGAAGAGCCTAGCTTCAGAAACTCAGATATGGCCTAAGGAAGAGTGAGCATTCATGAGGTCTGTAAGCAAGAAGACAGCAAGAGGAACTTAACCCTGATTTGAGTTCAAGTCGACCTGAACACACTAAAGAATCTGATCACTTATAAGGTGACTGTTAATTGGCAAGTCTTACTTATCTTTAACAGTTTACAATTATAAGCTTTTATAAGATTAGGAGTTTAAAGCTTTATCTCTGTTAAATTTGTGCCTTAAAAATAATAATTTCTGAATTGAAGCTTCTTTTAGTATCAAAATCAAACTTTTAACTCATAAACACAGATCAAAGAAACTGAGAAAATTCCTGATCCTTTTATAATAAACCATAACAGAATATAACAATTTTTATATGACTTAGCTTATTAAAATAGCTTAAGCTTAACAAAGTTAGCAAAGACAAAGAGGCTAGACATATGTCCTTTAGCATGAGTAGACCTTACGTAAGGAGAAACAGTCTCTGAGCCAGTCATTCTCAACCTTCCTAATGCTGCGACCCTTCAACACAGTTCCCCATGCTATGGTGACCTTCCAACCAGAAAGTCATTCTCGTTGCTGTTTCACAACTGCAGTTTTGCCACTGATATGAACTTTAATGCAAGCATCCAACATGCAGGTGGTCCTAGGCTACCCTGCAACCCCTAAAGGGTCATGAGCCATAGGTTGAGATGCTGCTCCAAGCCCTTTGCCAGATTGCTTAGGTCATTGTCTTGCTACATCATAAGAAAGGAACATCCCAGATTCTAGTGGTTAGTGTCTGATGCTCATACTGTGGCCTGAATTTCTAAGCTTTGATTTATTTTTAAATTCATATATTAATAATGTAAAACATTTTATAAACTTAAAAAGTCCCATAGCCTTATGAATCTAAATAGCTTAAAGCTGTTCCTTAAAAATATCCAGTTTTTGCATGTCAACATGTGGCAAAGATCCATATCTATTGCCATTCACAAAGCTCAAGTCCAAATGGATCAAAGACCTCAACATAAATCCAGCCACACTGAACTTCATAGATGTGAAAGTGGGAAGTAGCCTTCAATGCATGGGCACAGGAGACCACTTCCTAAATATAACGTCAGTAGCACAGATACTGAGAGTAACAATAAATAAATGGAACCTCCTGAAACTGACAAGCTTCTAAAAGGCAAAGGACACAGTCAATAAGACAAAACAGCAGCTAACTGAATAGGAAAAATATCTTCACCAAACTCGCATCAGACAGAGGACTGATCTCCAAAATACATAAAGAGCTCAAGAAACTAGACATAAAAATACCAAAGAATCCAATTAAAAATGGGGTATAGATCTAAACAGAGAATTCTCAACAAAAGAATTTTGAATGGCCAAAAGACTCTTAAGGAATTGTTCAACTTAGCCTTCAGGGAAATGCACATCAAAACAACTCTGAGATACCATCTTACACAGGTCAGAATGACTAAGATCAGAAACACCAATGATAGCTTACGCTGGAGAGGATGTGAAGTAAGCGGAACACTTATCCATTGCTGGTGGGAATGCAAATTTGTACAGTCACTTTGGAAATCAGTGTGGCAGTTTCTCAGAAAATTGGGAATCAATATACCTCAAGATACAACAATACTACTCTTGGGCATATACTCAAAGGATACACATTCATACCAAAAGGACCTTTGCTCAGCTATGCTCACAGTAGCATTATTCGTAATAACCAGAACCTGAAAACAACCCAGATGTCCCTCAACCGAAGAATGGAGAAAAAAAAATGTGACACATTTACACAATGGAGTGCTACTCAGCGGTTAAAAACAATGACAGTGTGGCTGATCTAATGGGAGCTCACCAAAGCCAGCTGTACCGGGAGTGAACAAGTATGTGATCAAACCGGACTCTCTGAATGTGGCTGCCAATGGGGGCAGACTGAGAAGCCATCGATAATGGCACTAGGACCTGTTTCTACTGCATGTACTGGCTTTTTGGGACCCTAGTCTATTTGGATGCACACCTTCCTAGGCCTGAATGGAGGGGGGCGGGCCTTGGACTTCCCACAGGGCAAGGTAGTCTGCCCTCTCTTAAGAAGGGAGGGGGAAGGAGGAAGGAGAGTGGGAGGATGAGAGGGGAATGGGGAGGAGGGGAGGAAGTGTAAATTTTTGAATGGAAAAAGAAAGAAAAAGAAATTTGCATGCAAATGGATGGAATCAGAAAAAAAAAAAACCATCCTGAGTGAGATAACCCAGACCCAGAAAGACAAACATGGTATGTACTCACTCATAAGTGGAGATCAGATATAAAGCAAAGGATAACCAGCCTACAGTCTTCAACCCCAGAGAAACTAAGACACAAGAAGGACTCTAAGAAGACAAGCAGGGATCCCTTGGGAAGGGAAAATAGACAGTATCTCCTGAGATCTCCCTGGACAGGAAGAGAAAGGGGAAAGGGGAGAAGGGGAGGGGGAGCAGAACATGAGGGATGGGGATGGCCTAGTTGGGAGAAAGACGGAAAGGAAGAACAAGGAAAGCGATATCATGATAGAGGGATCCATTATGGGGTTAGCAAGAAACTTGGCACTAGGAAAATTCCAGGAATCTGCAAGGATGACCCCGGCTAAGACCCTAAGCAATAGTGGAGAGGGTGCCCGAACTAGCCTTCCCCTGAAATCAGATTGATGACTACCTCAACTGTCACCATAGAACCTTCATTCAGTAACTGATGGAAGCAGATACAGAGATCTACAGCTACGCACTGGTTAAGCTTCCGAAGTCCGGTCAAAGAGAGGGAGGAGCGATAGTAAGAGCAATGGGCTCAAGACCATGATGCAGAAACCCACAGAAACAGCTGAGCCAAGCTAGTGGCAGCTCAGTGACTCTGGACTGACAACTGGGGAGCCTGCAGAGGACTGAACTAGGCCCTCTGAATGTGGGGGGCAGTTGTGTGGCTTGGGCAGTTTGTGGGACCACTGGCAGTGGGGCCAGTATTTGTGGTACATGAACTGGCTGGAGCCCATTCCCTTGGGCTCCTTGCTCAGCCTAGATATGGGGGCGGGGGGTGTCCTGGTTCTGCCTCAATGCATATGGCAGACTTTGTTGACTCCCCATGGGAGACCTCACTCTTTCTGAGAATGATGGGTGTGGGTTGCGTGGATATTGCAGGCAGTGGGAGGAGAGAAGGGAGAGGGAACTGGGATTGGTATGTAAAATAAAAAAGACTGTTTTTTTTTTAAAAAAATAAAATAAAAGATGTAAGTTCTCAGCTACTCCTTCAGCTTCCTGCCTCCCTACGTGCTGCCATGTTCTCTGCCATGATGGTCATGGACTCTAACCCTCTGAAACTGTCAACCAGAAATAAGTGCTTTATATTACGTTTGTCATAGTGTCTTATCACGGCAATGGAAAAGTAACTAAGACAGTATCCGGCCTGATTGGTGGCACCTGTTCTCAGAACCCACAGGCTCTTCACAAACTCATATCCATCTGGAGTTGGCTCTAAGCTAAGGAGAGTAAACAAATCCCACTCCTAGACTCTGATTCCACGCTGATACAACGCCCAGGGGACCTCAGCCTATCTGCTACTTTAATTTCTAAATTTGACCTTAGCCCTCATTGAATCTTCCTCCTTGATTCCTGAGGTCCATACCCAGCACACCCGTCATGCACCTTCCCCGCATGGGCAGCCCTGGCCTGACTGACTTGCCCTCTGCAGGGTATTTTTCCTAAGGGGAACCTAATGAGCTCAGCTCTTTAGTAGTAGCACTGCTACTACTACTACCGCTACTACTGCCTCTTCTCTTACCTCTGACCCCACACTGATCCCTGCTTTGTCCTACGTGGCGCCAGTGTCTCTACACCCAAGGAAGTCTCTCTTTCTAGGAATCCTGGGCCCTCAAATTAGAGCGTACCACCACTTCAGCCCCAGGACTGCGCAGGCCCACTTCCTCTCCCTAACCTGTACCTTGCCTTCTGACATATGCCTCTTGGGTCCGAAGTAAGCATCCCTTCCTCTTCTCCTTGGAGTCCACTGCCCCCCACCCCACACTGCTGTAGCAGGTTTATTCTTCCTGATTCCTGTCTCAACGAGGTCTCTGCTCTTTGATCAGCAGTTCATATCACTCCTTTGCAAAAGCCATCTCCAGGGACTTTACCTGCCTAGGTCCCCTTGAAGTTTAGCCAAAGGCCCCTCTTGGCCACCAGCACAGATTTTCTTGTAGCCATGCCATCCTGCGTGTGAGCACAGGTCTCTAACTCCTTCCATACCTCATCTGGTTTACATTGTGTGCTCTTCCCACCTGGCATTAGTCCCTTCTCTTCCCTAGCAGAGATTGATTTGGGTTCCCCTAAGAAAGCACTGTCTGGGGAGAAGGACAAGACGACATTGCCACCGTGTTTGGGCTTCGGTCTGAATAAGAAGCCTTCCCTCTCCAGGGAAGTGATGAAGACAGAGTTAACAATATCAGCCAGCCCAGGAACCCAAGGAGTCTGTGAACACAGAGCAGCAGGTAATGGCCAGGCTTCCTGCTTTCTCCCCTGGGTCTCAAGGGTACTACTTCATCCACCCCCACCCATCCTCGTGAAGCAATTTCAGCCAGATCTGTACTCCCCTCACCCCCTGACACAGAAACCCCTAAAGAAAGGGGAATTTCAGGTAGTGCCTTGTGCCACCCAGTTTCAATCCTGTTCTTAGTCTGTGCAGAGATGGCTGTGAGGTGGCATTTACACCTTTGTGACACTTGGGCTCAACTCCGAGGCGGACAGAACCCAGAGTTAAGCTTCTGGGAGCCATGGGACAAAACAAGAAAAGAGGGAATCATCTTCCCATTTCCCTCACATAAGTGACATAACAGGGAAAGGATGGTGCAAATGGAGAGGACCATGGGACTTGGGCCAACAGAGGATGTCTCCAGAACTGAGCAACCAACAAGTCATGGAGGAGTGGGAAGAGGTTGAGATACCAGGCGCTATAGAAGAGATTCGGGGGCTGCACAGGTAAGACAACAACCTGAAGAGTGTTTACCAGACAGAGTCCAGGGATCCCATGGGCTGGAGCACAGGCCCCTGGACCTGAAACACACACACACACACACACACACACACACACACACACACACACAGCGACAACAACCAGAGTTGGCCTCAAGTAGATGATGGGATGGATGCATCAGCAGACCTGTGAGATGAACTTGGTCTGTCCGGAAGCTGGTAGGACCAAATCAGCTGAGTCAACAGAGTGGGAACCAGAGAAGCAAGTTTTCTGTAGCAGAAACCTACAAGGCTGACAATGGTGAGTTGACAGGGGAAGGAAGGCATGGAGGAATCCAAAACTCATCCAAGAGGGATTCTAAGCCTACCAGGGAATGCAGAAAAGACGGTGGACTCTCCGGGGTTTGGGAATCAAGCTCAGTGTTGATGAGAAGGAGTGGGGCCAAACATGAACTGAAAGAAGCCAAGGCTGGCAGGAAGAAGTCTAAGGAACTCCAAGAACCAGACAGGAAGCTACAGGTAGGTTGTGGATGGTGGGCATTTAAGAGGGCCAAGGAAGGCCCAGGAGATCAGGGGAACTGGGGCATTTAAGATTTCGAGGTACCAAGCTGAGCAGCCACAGGAGAGCTAGAGCAGGTGGAAGCCTAGGGGGCCTGGCTGAACAGTTGAATGGGAGCTGGAGTAGGCAGGAATATGGCGAGAAAGGCTGAGCAGCTACAGGGGAACTGGGACAAAAAAAAGGATATGGGAATCTGACTAAACAGCTGCATCAGGTCTGGGAAAGTGGGCGTGTGGGAGACCAAACTGAGGAACTGAAGGAAAACTGGGATAGATGAGAGTGTGGATTACCAGTGTGAGACCTGCAGGAAAGGTAGGCAGGTGGGAGTGTGGCGGTCCAACCTGAGATGCTAGAGGGAAGCTGAGCAGGAGGGAGATTGGAGAAGCAGACTGAACACCTCTGGGTCCCAGATAGGTAGGCATTCTGGAGTCACAGAAGCCTTGAAAGCTCAGGAAACAACACCTGTAGCAGAGCTGAGACAGGTGATGTAAAACACAGGCTGAGCAGTTCCTGGGGA